TCACCAAGTAGATAAAGAGGATGGCAGAGGTACAACTGACAGGTGCAGGGCACAGATTTTTTAGTGGAAGAAGAGGATCCAGAAGAGCCTCCGTCCCAATAGAACATTTGAGCTGCAACTTGAAAGTGAGAATATGTGAAAGGGAACCTTCCAGGCATGGGGATGAGCCGATCTGTAAAGGCCCCAGGCTGGGAGAGGAGGGAGTGTGTTTGAGAAACACAAAGAGGACCAAGCACCTGGAGGGTGGTGAGCCTGAGAGTGTCCAGTTGCAGAAGAGGTAGATTACGAGGCAGGGCCATTTCAGATCAAGTAGGTCTAACAAAGAACCTGAATGCTGTTCCAAGTGCCATAGGAGCCACTGAAAGGTTCTGAGCAGGGAATGACACAGTGTCCTACACATATATGTGACTTTGCTGTTGTACAGAGAATAAACTGATTAAGAAACAAGAGTGAACAAGTGAAGGAGGCATTTGGGCGGCTCCCTGCATAGTCATGGAGTGGCCCGCTGCAGGAGGACAAATCCAGACATGTTTTGACTGAGGTCAGTTGTACTGGGTCCCGAGGGCCATGCCGCTCTGGATACAGAGTGAGGCACCTGTCAAGGGGCTTGAGGAGAGAGATGCACAAGGAAATCAACAGATAGCTCTGTCGTCTCAAGTGCCACTTCACTTAGCATTGTCTTTGTTAAATGCAATGAGCACATCTTTTTGACCAAAAGTTCATGTTTATCCTACAAGTGGATAGGCGTGCGTGTAAAATGACATGTGCTCTAAATTATTCATTACGATGTTTGTGTAAGTAGAAGATTGGAAACAATCTAAATGTTGAGTAATAGGGAACTGGTAAAATAAACATTGATTTAGCCATAAAATAAAATACTATGCATCTAAAAATGGAAACAAGGATACTTTCACATTCTGAGTTTCTTATGTACATATACTTGTATGTGTGTGTGTATATATAATCTGTATATATAATGAGATGTTACCAATTGTGTAAAAAAGATTTTAAAATACTCACGTACATATTTGCCAGTACATCCTTTGAAATTCTTCAAAAGGAGATTTAAAAAAAACTGCTTCTGATTGAGGACAGGGACTGGGGGCATATACTTCTCAATGTATACTTTTATAGCACTTGAAATGTACACTATGTGAATATATAATCTATTTAAAATAACTAAATAAAATTTAAATTTTAAACAATGCATTAAAGTAGATGCAAGAAAAGATGGAGGCCCATGGTGCTGAAACCACAGAAGGATATGTAGGGGATGGGACTGAAAAGCGAGGAGAATCCTGGAGCAGGTAACACTGGGTCTGAGTCTTGAAGAATGAACAGTCATCCATCACCAACATAAGGCAGAACCATGCTCCTGACAAAGGCATGGGCATATAATCCAACAGGGTCCATTCAAGGAAACAGCAGTATTTTGGCTTAGCTAAAGTTCATGGGGTTCCAGAAAAACCTATTATGTCAAGAAGTTAGGTCTTTTCCCAGAAGTGATAAAAGGGGGAAGCAGCGACATGATCAGATCCACAGTTCCTTTTTTAAATTTTTACTTATTGATTTTTAGAGAGAGAGACAGAGAGAGACATTGTTGTTCACTTATGTATGCATTCATTGGATGATTCTCGTATGTGCCCTGATCGAGGACCGAACCAGCAACCTTGGTGTATGGGGACAACACTCTAATCAACTGAGCTGCCAGGCCAGGTCCACGGTTCTTCAAGGTAATTCCAGCAGCAGGGTGGAAAAGGGACAGAGGTAGGAGTGGGGAAGAGCTGACTAGAACCTAATACAGAAACTAGGTAAGGACCTAGTTCCTTTTATGGAAGAAGCAATGATACAGAAGAGGGAACAGAGACAATAGGGATTAAGGAGTTGGGGATCAACCAGATTCGGGAACTGATTCCATGGGGCAGGGCACTAAACAGGAATAAAGGATAACTCCAACAATCTTACCTGGGCTACCATTATCGGAGAGAAGAAACCGAGGAATGAAGCAAGTTTGCGACAAGAGAGGAAGAACTAGTTCCAGGGGGAGCAGAATGATGGGTTCAAATCTCTAGGTACTTGAGCAGTGTGTACTTGAGCAGTTTGACTCAAGTCTTTGTATTTTAGTTGCTTCATCTGTAAAATAAAGCTAATATCTATCTGAGAGGATTATTTTAATCATGAAATGAAACATTTTATATACAGGACCTATCACATTGCCTGACCCATAGCAGATACTTAACAAGAGGCGGCCCTGGACACGGTAGAAATTATACATTATAGAAAAGTCTCTACAACAGAGAAATAGCTACTTCACTAAGGTAGGAATTTCAAGGAAACTTTAAAGAATGTTGTTATTCCGTTCATTCCAAGTTTCATTCCTCTGGGGTCCCTGGACCAACCTCTCACCTGGACAGTACTGTGACTAGTTATGAGTATCGATTGGGGACTCACCATTGCTGGACAAGCAACTCACAGGCCAGGCTTTTGCTCAACATTCATTTCACCAAAACTAGTCAAGATTGGCTTGTTTCAATTCCAGGTAGACACTAGTATCTATAAAACCCCAATGGCCAGACCATCCAGATAACTGTTTGGGGTTTTTCATTTCCTGTGTTGCATGTGTCAAACCTCTCACGGTGACGGCAAAGCAAACCAAGACAATCATCCTGCTGTATACTTGCAGGTACAACTCCAAGGAGAGTAACCTCCGGGGACTTCCCAGTGAAGATGAGGTCTCGAACAAGACTAAACTCCAGCCCCCCTCTAAATCCAATGCCCCCACGTTTTCTATCATCACAGAGACCTCAAATTACCTGCAAAATCAGAAAAAAGGGGGGCCAAGACCTACCATGAAGACATGGACAAAGTCCTATTCCTTAAGTCATGAGTATTAAAATAAGTCTATTTTATATGCCTCTTACGCTTGGTTCTGACCTCACATTTGGTATTGTCGAGAAAAAAAAAATCATAGGGATTTTTGAAAATAAGAAGTATCCAAAAATATCTAATGTATGCTTCTCTTGAAGCCAGTGCACCCAAATACGATCATGACTAAAGTATCGGTGATGGTCAGAAAACAGGAACATCCTTGTTCCCTAAATTGCCACTCTCCTCCTGGAAACATGCTCTGGGATCACTCTATGGGTCTGACCTGTAGGACTGTGCTGCCCTAGAGGAGGGAAGCGATGTCAAACAAGATTTTTCTGATATGACCAGCCATATGCCCTCTAGTAGACACGGGGCTCAACATGAACCTGTTTTATACAAATTGCCTTAGTAGATTTATATTATAGGATGGCTATAATCTATTTGATAGGCACAGATCCATTGTAAGCATTGAGGTTAACTACCCAACATGTACATTATATGAAACATAAAAGAAATATTAGCCAGAATCTAGTAACATTCCATTCAAGGCCAAAGAAACCAGGCAACAAAGGTAAGAAGCTTAATAAAATTAACCTGAAAACTGACAGTCTTGCCTATTATACCAGATGTCCCGTCAGAGTCAATAGCAGAATGGCCCGGTAAGAATGGTTTTTTAGGGAGAGTTCTACATTCTGGTCATGGGTCTCTGATGATAGAATTAAAATACATGTACAGACCTGGCCGGTTTAGCTCAGCGGTTGGAGCGTCGGCCCTCGGACCAAAGAGTCACGGGTTCCATTCCCATCAAGGGCACATATTTAGGTTGCATGTTCGATCCTTGGCCCTGGTCAAAATATATATATATATTTCACCTACACGAAATCCATACCTGTTTTTAAAAGTAAAACATTCTGTCCAAGATTACATAAATCGGTTTCTAGGTGCTGTCCCTGTTCCTTCCCAAATCTTCCCTTGTAATTTTTCTCTAATGTGACATCCTGTGCTTTGCCTCTTCCCTCACCAATAAAATTCCAACATTTTTCTTGGGAGAGTAAGGAGTGAGCAATCTTCCTGGGATTGTCTTAGGTATGTGTAAGAAGTGCTGATGGACAAAACATGCAGTTCTTCCTGTGGGCATGGCAGAGATGTTGGTAGGGTACTCTGAAATTGTTCAGACTGCCTGGGCTGGGTCAGGTGGGGGGACAGGATAGTGAGGGGTGGTGAGCTCATCCCCAACCCACTTGTCAACACCAAGCCTGAGAACTTGTCCTGACCCGAATTCAGGAGGACTACTGCTTGCTTCCACATGAAATCGGTATAATTGGACCTTTTCCCACACAAAGCATCTGTGCCTCTGGAACTACTGCACCCATGCCCTAAAAACTGAAGACCTATGACTCCTAATCTGCGCAGAAGACAATTCCTGGGCTGCCGCACTCGAAAGTTAAAACTCTCTGGTTTTTATCCAACCAATCTTTACTAACCTATGAACCTCTCTGAAGTCTGAAGACGTCCCAATAGGTCTCCCCAATCGCGGGCATCCAACCATTCCCGCTCTCCTTGCTTTCAGCGAAGACGAGATCGTTAAGGCTGACTGTAACACGGCTAATTTCACACTAAACTAACTCAGCGGAAAGTAGCAAACTACCCTAGCAGGGCACCACAGCTGCTAAACGTCAGATTTACCGCCCCCGGGAAAACCAGAGACCGGTGTTGAGCCCTTTATTCAGGCTTTCTCGGGCGCGCACTCGACTCTCACAGGCGCGCATGCACACACTCGGGCACTACACACACAGCCGGAGGACTTAGTTTTCTCTTCCCCAGAGCAGCCATCCACCGTCCTCTGCATCTGATCCTCCTCATCCCCATCCCCAGAACACACGCCTCCTCCAGCCTCCGCGCCGCACACGTGGGGAAGCGCGTCCAGGTGGAGCCAGAAGGGAGGAGAAACGCGCAGAGGTGGGGAGGGCCAGGGAGGAGGGAGGAGGGCGCTCCGGGTGGAATGCGGGATCTCAGGTCCCCGGGTCTGTGTAGATGCCATGTAAGCTTCTGGGAGGAAGAGAGGGAGAGAGAAAAGCAGCGGGAAAGGAAAGGAGAGAAGGCAGGAGGGGAGGGGGGGAGGGGCCGCTCACCCAGCGTTTTGACAGCGATCTGCCTGGTGAGGGGCGGCGGCAGGTTGATGCACACTAAGTCCACGTCCTGATGCAGCAGCACCTCATCAATGCGACTCGTATAGAAGGGAACGCTCATCTCCTTGGCCAGCTCCTCCGCTTCCTCCTGTGTGCGGCCCCACAGCGCCTTCACCGCGAAGCCCTCATCTTTCAGCAGCGGGATGATGACTCGGGCGGTGAGGCTGGTGCCGAACACGCCCACCCCGGGAAGCATGGCTGCTCAGGTCCGCGGGTTCTGCTTTAGCTCCGCTCTCCAGTCCAACACGCGCGCACACACCCCTCTAGCCAGTCCTGCACCCGGCTCGCCGCGGTGAGCCAGCCGCCGTGCCCTGGGCAAGGCGCCCGGGTGCCGAGAGCGCACCCAGATGCAGGCGAAGCAGTCTCGGGGCGCCTCAGCACAGTGACTGCTGCAGTGTCCGCCACGCGGAGCTCCCGTCCTTTCCGAAGGCGGAGGTAGAGACCCCCCCGGGGCGCCTGAGGCCCCGAAGCCGGGTGGAACCTTGGCTCAGGCGGCAGCCGCTCCGCAGCACCAGCCGGCTCCATGCGCCCCGCGAAGGCCGCTCCGTGGCCGGCTCATCCCGCACCCGCGTCGTTGCAGCCCTGTACTGGCTCTCTCCCGCGTCTTTTCCGCAGCCGGCGAGTGTCGCACGCACAAGCCTCCACACGCTGCCAGAGCCCGGAACGGCTGGCTGCGAGGTCGCCTTTCTCCCCCGCCCTTCGCCTAGAATGAAATAATTCAGCGGCCACCAGGAGGCCGGCTAAGCAGGAGGCTCGGAGGGCGCCGGGCGCGGATCTTAAACTGCAGCGCGGCGGCGGCGGCAGAGGCCACGACCCGGCCCCAGCCTTCTCATTCTGCTGCCATGTTCGCTCGCAACGCGGCTCGGGCGGCCTCGGCCCCGGCCGTCTCGGCTCCGGGATCCCGCGGGGACGAGGGCGGAGTTGGGGAGTTTGGCTGTCAGCGGCCGGGTGTTCCTGCACCGCCCCCGCCGCTGCGCTGCGCGCCATTGGCCGCGGCGCGCCGCCCCCGCCCCGCCGCCGCGGCGGGCTCCGGGTGCGCGCTGCGCGGGGCCCAGGAACCCAGCCGGGCTCCTCCCCGGCCCCGCCTCACTCGCCTCCTGCCCCTCCGTTTCTTCCCTTTCTTCGCCCTCCAACACCTTCTTTCCTACCTCGCCTCTTCCCAGACCCCGCCCCAAGCAAGCTAATAAATGTATCAAGGCAGGGCGCGCCCACACGGACGTGCCGTCGGTCCCTGGGAAGACAGCAGCCTGTGCCTGGCCCGGAGGAGGCCAGGCGACCCAACGAAATGTGAGCAGCAGGCAATTACAGACTCTATTCCGGGAGCTTTTTCTGCGTGCGGGGAACCGTGCTAGGGAAGCTTTCCAGGCATTCTCTCATTTAACCTTTCACCATTTAACCGATGATGTAACTGAGTCCTGGGAAGTTTTACTGACTTGAGCAAGGTCACACAACAGGTAAGCAACTGGCCTGGGATTAGCATCCAGACTTCAGAGGAGCGGTGAACTGGAGAGTTCCCCTCTCTCCTACTGAAAGAGCCTCTCCAGTCGTGCGCCACCCCTCCATTCGCGCACTCGTGGTCCAGCCGCCTTCCTCCCATACAATCTTGTCTCGACGAGCTCTGGTTTCCCAGCGAGGCCGGCGCCCGCGTAGACGCTGTGGCGGCAACTGGGCAGGGGTCCTGGAAGCGGCTGCCGCACATGTTTGTCCGCATTTCGGTTCAGAGACGGAGGAGGCACAATAGCCTCTCAGCCTGGCGCTATGGCTCCTTTCGCCGCCGCTTCACGCGGCCTCCACTCCCTTCCTTGTTTCCTTGAGCCCTCGCCAAGGTGCGGAGTGGGAGGCGGGGGCGCCAGGCTCGAGCCGTGGGGACTCTGCCTGTACATGTCTGGTTCCCTGCCATTTCCTTACCCCCTCCCCCCATCTGACAGCCTACCTGGCACGTAGTAGGCGCTCAATAAACATTTGCTCAAAAAAATGAATGAATATTTATTGACTGCCTAGAGGGAGGACCCAAAACTGAAAGACAAGGGACATGGGGTCCTGTCATGTTTATATTTTCATCACTCAGCTCAATTTGGCACATGGTCTGCTTCAAATCATGAGTGGAAAACTTGCAAGCCTTTAAAACTTGTAACAACTTGCAATGAGGCAGGGCACCAGAAAAGCTTGTGTGTGGCAATGTGGGGAGGAGGCTGACCTCAGGGCATTAGATGAAAGGTACAGAGGACACTGAGTGGCTGCCAGTGGCTTGGGAAGGTCTGAGACATAAGGAGGTATTAACCACCAATACTGACAGGCTTTTGAGCAGTTTGCAAACACCAAGACAGGAATGCCTACTAGGGCAGCGGTGCAGGCAATAGTGTTAGACAAGGTACCTTCTCAGTGCACAGGAGGCTGGATCACATGTCAGAGATGACACTGTTCACAGGGAGCAGGGGATATAGAACTTGGTGTTGAGGTTAGAAGCAGAGCCAGAGCACCAATGGTTGACTCCTGAGCCTGCCATTTATTAGCTGTGGGACTTTCAGCAAGTTACTTCACCCCTCCGTGTCGGTTTCATCTGTGAAATTGGGTAATAAAGGATTTTAGAGAATACTGTGGGTTATTTTTTATAAAGTCCTTATAATAGTGTCTGGCACATAGTAAGCTCAATATAAATGTTAAATAAGTATGGTCTGTTACCAACATCATTTCTTGATATGACAACAATTGCAAAAGTCCTACAATATCTAGCTAGTAAGAGGGAGTTTTGTCTTCTTTTAAAGGGAACTCTAGCCCTGGCCCGTTTGGCTCAGCGGTTAGAGCTTTGGCCCACAGACCGGAGAGTCCCGGTTCAGTTGGGCACGTACCTAGGTTGCAGTTTGTCCCCACACCTGTTGGGGCTGTGTGGGTGGCAACCATTCAATGTGTCTCTCTCACATCGATGTTTCTCTCTCTTTCTCCCTCTCTCCCTCCCGCTCTATCTGAAGATACATGCAAAATGTCCTCGGGTGAGGATAAAAATAAAAATAAAAAGGGAACTCTACTCCTAGCTTTAGTGTGAATAAATAAAATAAACCTTCCATTCACATAATATCATTACATAATATCAAAAGATAATGATCACATTTGATTCTCATTAGAAACGTATAAAACAAATGTCTCCATTTCATAGAAGACAAAACTGAATCCTGGTAGCAATTCAAATGTATGGGTCCAAAACAGAACACTTCATTTCCAACCCTCCCCCCTAACTGCTTCTCTTTCATTGGTCCCCATTTCAACAAATGCCACAGCCAGCCCACCAACTGACCAAAACCTTGGAGCCATGCAGGACTTCTTTCTGTCATACTCTATAGCCAAGCATCAACAGACCCTGTTGGCTCTTTTTTTTTTTTTATCCTCACCCAAGGACAATTTTCCTTTTTGTTTTTTGTTTTGTTTTGTTTTGTTCAGATAGAGTGGGAGGGAAAGAGAGAGAGAGAACCATTGACATGAAAGGGACACACTGAGTGGCTGCCACCTGCACGACCCATCCAGGGCCAGGGACAAAATGCAACTGAGATACGTGCCCTTAGCAGGAACTGAACCTGGCCCTGAACCTGGGTCTCTCTGGACCGCAGGCCAACGGTCCAACCACTGAGCTAAGCCGACCAGGGCTCGGCTCTGCTTTTAAAGTGTGTCCACAGTCCATGGTGGAGATTCTGAGTCACCAGCATCACGTTGGACCATAGCATTCACCTTCACACTGGTCTTCCTGCTTCTACTCATTCCCTATAGACCATGTTCTCCACACAGCAGCCAGTGATCCTTTAAAAGATAAGTCAGATCAGGTCCCACCAAGCTCCACACCTACCAGTGAATACACCCAAAGTCCTCAGTAGGGCCTGAAAGGCTCTATCTGACCTAAGCTTCCACCGAAATATCACCTACCACTTTCCACCCCACATGCCCTGTACAGGCCGAGCCTGTTCTTGTCTCAGGGCCTTTGCACTTGCTGTTTCCTCTGCCTGATCCCACCCCTCCAGCCCTACTTACCTAGCCACGTGGCTCACTTACTTTACTCAGGTCTCTGCTCAAATGTCCCCTCCTCACATTGCCTTGCCTGACCATCTCATCTAAAATGGTACCTCTGTCACATTTCATCCTTTGTCTAGCTCTATTTTTCTTTGTAGTTTCTCTCACTACCTCACATTATACTATATACCTGTTTATTTATCATCCATTTGCCTCAATAGATTATAAACTCACTGAGATCAGAAGTTTGTGTGTCGTGTTCACTTCTGAATCCCCAGTGCTTAAAATTGTATCCAGCCCTGCCAGTGTGGCTCAGTGGTTGAGCACTGACCCATGCATCATGAGGTTGCCGGTTCGATTCTTGGTCAGGGCACATGCCCAGGTTGTGGGCCAAATTGCCAGTGGGGGGCATGCAGGAGGCGGCCAATCAATGTTCTCTCTCATCGATGTTTCCATCTCTCTTTCCCTCTCCCTTCCTCTCTCTCTAAAAATCAATAAAGAAAAAAAATGTTTTTAAATAAATAAAGAAAATAAAATTGTATCCAGCACATGCTGGATGCTCAATCTACATGTTCTTCTAATAACCATGTATTACTATGACAATTGTATGAGTTAATATTTATAAATTCCTTAAAACTTTGCCAAGTGCCATGTGCAAGAAAAATTTAGGCCCTGGAGAAGCAAGGCTGAGTATGACAGAGCCCCCGACCTCAGGTTGCTTATGCCTGGTGCTCTGTAGCTTCGGGACATGAATTGACAACGGCAATACAGAGTGACAAATGCCATGGTGGGAGGCCTGTGTGGGATGACTTGTGAGCAGAAGAAGGCTTTGACATCAGAATCAGAAGCCTTTAAAGACTTGCAGAGCTTGGCTGGTGTGGCTCAGTAGACTGAGCGACATCCCATGGACTGAGAGGTCCTGGTTCAATTCCCGGTCAGAGCACATGCCCGGTTGTGAGCTCAATCCCCAGTGGGGGACATGCAGGAGGCAGCCAATCAATGTTGTCTCTCTCTGATGTTTCTATCTCTCTCTCCCTTCCTCTCTCTAAAAAATCAATACAAATATATTTTGAAAAGAAAAGAAAAGCATTGGCCATCACTGACTTGTTTAAAACCCTCCAGTGCTGTCCTTCTGCACTTGTAATGCAATCTAAACCCCGTGACATGGCCCAGGAGGCTCTGCTGTATCCCCCACTCCTTTGACTGATACCACTCACTCTTGAGCCAACCGTCTGTTCTGTGTCAGTCACACTCTCCTCCTCTTGATTCTGCGGTCTCATCTGGTTGTCTCAAGACATTTGCCCTTTTTGCTCCCTCTGCCAGGAATGCTGTTCCTCAGCCCTTCATTCACCTGCCAGCTTGTTCTCAGCCTTTTGGGCTCAACCTACATGTCACATCCTCCCCACCCTATGATGGTAGCTATTTCCAAACCTCCTTTCCAACTACCCTGTTGATTCCACTCACAGAACTTACACAATCTTCCTGAGTTTGCTTCCTGGACCATTGCTTGTCTCCTTGGGTCCAGGGGTCTTGCGGGTCTCGTGTATTGCTATTGCGCCACAGGCTAATACAATACCTGGTACCTCACTGATACACACTAAATCCTTCCTGAATGAATAAATTAATCACATAAGCATTAAAACATTTTCTAGTATCATGTGATGGCATAGAAAAATGCTTATAGAATAATGTTATGTTTAAAAAGCCAAAACAATATTGCATATGTAGGATGGTGCAAAAGTAGGTTTACAGTTGTGAGTATGCAAAACACAGTTTATTCTTGTATTATTATTGATTGATTATTGTATTATTTTCCATTTGAACAACTGTAAACCTACTTTTGCCTAATCCTGTACAATATTATTGCAGCTACATATTTTGTCTTTTTTGGGGGGTAAAATAT